TGCACATGTTCAGCCACCCTTGGCTTAAAACATGTGATCCAAATTCAACTCAAATGGCTTCTAAATGAAACCTAGATTTATCATCACTTACCTATTTTAGTATTCCTTCAAATTTCCTAATCTAAAGGCCTAAATACAATGGCCAATCAAATACAAATAATAGGAAATAATAAAAGAAACAAAATAAGCCCAATATTGGGTACCAAAATACCCAAGGTCCATTAAGCCTGAAAATAGGCCCAATAAGCCTATGACCTAATAATCCTAATCTATGTGATCCAAAATACAAGATCAAAATATGTGAAACCTATACTAATATTATTTATACAAATAAAGGAAAAAATAGAAATCTCAGAGTGAGGCCCATATGATGAGCAACTTGGGCCCTCCAAACCCATCGGGCCCATTATGCTCTAAACTAACCCAAATCTTCATATCTAACCCATTCCTCTTGGGTCCTTCAAGGTGTCACCTCTTGACCTCCTTGGCATGATTCCATCATAATTTACTCTATTTGAGATATATCTATTTGGTGGCAACGTGACAAATGGAGCCCACTAGATTATTCCTTTGTAAAGTTGAATGTTGATGGAAGTTGGCTAGAGAATTCTTGAGTGATGGGGATTGGTCGAGTGGTGAGGGATGCTATTGGTAGATAGAAAAGAGAATTTTTGAACTTGTTTGAAGGAGGTGACCCCTTATTTGTAGAACTTCTTGCTTTGGAGGCAAGATTGTGTTTATGTTGGGAATAGGAGTTTAAATTTCTTCTTTGTGAGTCAAATTGTATAACTATCATCTCTATCATTCATAAATACCCGCAATATGATTGTTAACAGCATAAACATGCAGATATTATTGCCAATATTATAGAGTTCTTGGCTCGTGATTAACAAATGTATTGCGAAAGTATTCCTATATAGAGTAATGTTGTTGCTCATGGGTTAGCTGGATGGGGAGTCAAATTTAGTTCCACGTTTGTTAAATGGAAGAGTTCTCCAAATTTCATTTTTCATGAAGTTGATTTAGATTTCATGTAGTTTTCTTTATTTATTTCTATTCTTCAATATACAAAAAATAAAAAAAAACTTTTGCTTGCTGTGTGTTGTTTTGTGTGTGGAAGAGGGAGTGAGAGTGATAAGTATGCATGTAAATCAATTTGAAACTATGACATGGAGTCACACTCTATTTAAAATTTAATATTACAATTTTAATTGAACATAATTTCATTTAAAATTGGTACTTATACCATACCTAAAATATATATCAGTCATAATTTCCTTAATTAATTTATATTACAATATATCAATGGTAATTATTATAATTGATAATTTTTTTTGTATGATACAAATTTAATCAATCCAACAGTTAAATAATGTAATATTATACTTCAGATCATGTATATCAAATTTTATATGATTCCAAAATTATTTAGTAGTTTTTCACGTTGCTTTATTTTAATGTATAATATGATATTTAAAATATGTTTAAATACCCATTTTTGCATAACATATCTAAAAAAATTCAATTCATATGAAATTTGATATACATTATCTTAAATATAATATTACATAACTTAATGGTTGAGTAAAACATTGGTGGCGACTCCATGAACCTATTTTCAAAATCATTAATTAAAGATTAGTGTGGTGTCCGGACATTCCTTAATTGATGAGATTTTCAAAAGGATGTCTAAACCATTAGTCGCAAGATCGAAAATTTTCGGGTTGCGACATACCAAAGTGGAGTAGATTGATTTTTTTTTTAAACTTTGCTCTTCTAATTGAGCTGCAAATACAGAGAAGATCAATTGCCTTTTAACACTAAATTCTTTCACTAATCAATCAAGTTCCCGGATCTATAAGTGTCAAGCAACTTCAAGTTGAAATTTCAAATTTCTAGTGCACTAGTAATGGAACTTGGCTTTAATTCTTTTTGTATTGTTTTTCTCCTCTCTTCTAATTCAATTTGAATTCAATTTCTCTATTTTTCCTTTGTTTTCCGGCCACAAATTTTTCCAGAATTAAAGCCAATAAGGATATCAACCAAAATTTAGAAATCACACTTGTAAGAACACTAGAATTGATTAGATTTTTGGAGGCAGATTTGAATTTGAAACCCAAAAATACATAATGGAAACCTAACTCTAAGAATCCATCAATGATCTACTAATGGATATGAACTCAAATATGTAAATAAAAAGCACCAAAGCACCAAAGAAGAACACAAATCTTGGCCAAAATTCAAATCACACAAACAATTTGCAAAGCTAGATTAACTAAGCATATCTTGAATTTTCTTGACATTATAAGGATTATACATGACTCTAGACAACTTTAAATGATTCAAAAATTCAAAAATAACATGCAATTGGAATCAAATGACCGAAGCAAAAGAAACAAATAGAAGAAGACTCAAACAAATTCAAATTTGGCACAAGTAGAGTCCTAGACACAAGGTGATTGCCGGATTGAACAAAATGAAATCAAACCTCTTGGATCTATCAAAAACTTTTCAAAAATTTAGATCCAAACAAAGAAACTCAAATGTGACAATCAAGAACACAAGAACAAACAATTCAATCGGTGAAAAGAATCACCTAACCTCAAGGAATGCAACCTTGCTCTAGATACCAAAATGATGGAGTGAGGCAAGAGAAGCAATGGATGATCTTCCTTTTCCTTACTCCAATGACACGATCTTCTTCCTTGAGGCTTGAATCTGGACTGGAATTTCCAGAATTGATGACACTATGAGTGATCCTAGGCTAAGGAAGGAAGCACTCAAGCAAGATCCACAAAGGAGTGCGCACGTACGCTTTAGGATTAGAAAGCTTTGGATTCCTAATGCTAAGCTAGTGAACTCTCGGTGACTTTTGGGAGAGAATTGGCTGGAGCAAACTCAGAATTCTCATATATGCAAAAGTGAATACAAGAGTGAAGGAAACAAGCTTTAAATAGGCACGGACGCAAGCACCCTTGGCGCCAATTCACAAGCCATCCAATTGGCCCCTAGAATTTGAATTCAAATTTTTAGCCACCATGTGCATCTCCGTGAATTATGGATCCAAGTTGCATCTAAATGACATTTAGCAAAGCATTTGGCATTGATTTGGGTGTGCACATGTTCAGCCACCCTTGGCTTAAAACATGTGACCCAAATTCAACTCAAATGGCTTCTAAATGAAACCTAAATTTATCATCACTTACCTATTTTAGTATTCCTTCAAATTTCCTAATCTAAAGGCCTAAATACAATGGCCAATCAAATACAAATAATAGGAAATAATAAAAGAAGCAAAATGAGCCCAATATTGGGTACCAAAATACCCAAGGTCCATTAAGCCCAAAAATAGGCCCAATAAGTCTATGGCCTAAAAATCCTAATCTATGTGATCCAAAATACAAGATCAAAATATGTGAAACCTATACTAATATTATTTATACAAATAAAGGAAAAAATAGAAATCTCAGTGTGACCCATATGATGAGCAACTTGGGCCCTCCAAACCCACCGGGCCCACTATGCTCTACACTAACCCAAATCTTCATATCTAACCCATTCCTCTTGGGTCCTTCAAGGTGTCACCTCTTGATCTCCTTGGCATGATTCCATCATAATGTACTCTATTTGAGATATATCTCTTTGGTGGCAACGTGAAAAATGGAGCCCACTAGATTATTCCTTTGTAAAGTTGAATGTTGATGGAAGTTGGCTAGAGAATTCTTGAGTGATGGGGATTGGTCGAGTGGTGAGGGATGCTATTGGTAGATAGAAAAGAGAATTTTTGAACTTGTTTGAAGGAGGAGACCCCTTATTTGTAGAACTTCTTGCTTTGGAGGCAAGATTGCGTTTATGTTGGGAATAAGGGTTTAAATTTCTTCTTTGTGAGTCAAATTGTATAACTATCATCTCTATCATTCATAAATACCTGCAATATGATTGTTCACAACATAAACATGCAAATATTATTGCCAATATTATAGAGTTCTTGGCTCGTGATTAACAAATGTATTGCGAAAGTATTCCTATATAGAGCAATGTTGTTGCTCATGGGTTAGCTGGATGGGGAGTCAAATTTAGTTTCACGTTTATTAAATGGAAGAGTTCTCCAAATTTCATTTTGCATGAAGTTGATTTAAATTTCATGTAGTTTTCTTTATTTATTTCTATTCATCAATATACAAAAAATAAAAAAAAAAACTTTTGCTTGTTGTGTGTTGTTTTGTGTGTGGAAGAGAGAGTGGGAGTGATAAGTATGCATATAAATCAATTTGAAACTACGACATGGAGTCACACTCTATTTAAAATTTAATATTACAATTTTAATTCAACATAATTTCATTTAAAATTGATACTTATAACATACCTAAAATATATATCAGTCATAATTTCCTTAATTAATTTATATTACAACATATCAATGGTAATTATTATAATTGATAATTTTTTTTGTATGATACAAATTTAATCAATCCAACAGTTAAATAATGTAATATTATACTTCAGATCATGTATATCAAATTTTATATGATTCCAAAATTATTTAGTAGTTTTTCACATTGCTTTATTTTAATGTATAATATGATATTTGAAATATGTTTAAATACCCGTTTTTGCATAATATATTTAAAAAAATTCAATTCATATGAAATTTGATATACATTATCTTAAATATAATATTGCATAATTAATGGTTGAATCAATTAAATTTATATTATAAAAAAATTATTAAATTTGAATTATACAAAAACTTGATAACATATATTTATTGATAGTTTTTTAAATATTATAATTTAATTTAAAAATAAAGAATAAAATAATAAATTGATAAATACAAACAGTTTGAAAATTACCTAAATATACGCTGGTTTTCTTAAAAAAAGATAAAAATAAAAAGGCACTCTTCTTCGGTATATTCTTTTTCTAATTTACGTATAAAGAGCGTCAAAATGGAACGATAATCCTACAAAACTTTTATTTGTTATCTCAGTAGGGTTTTAAGAAAAAAGAAGAAGAAAAAAAAAACGTGACCATGTCAATTGTCAAGTCATCATTATTATGTTAGTAATACTCTTTGCGCCACAGCGAACTAGCGGTTGCATACGAGAGAGACGTAACACAAACACTCATCATTATGTTAGTAATTCTCTCTTTTCACTGTTCTATCGACTACCTTCTCATGTGCATCATCACTTAACAAAAGCATGATTTTTTATTTGATTTTTGTGTAACGACTTTACTAGGTGATGATGATGATCATTGACCATGTTTATAAGCAAGGTTTTAAATTACAGTTCTTGTTTCGTCACCTTTGTTGATATTATGAAAAATAACAGAAAATGTGGTCAAGACACTCCAAAAACCTTGATGTTGTGGCAGAAATTGCAGTCGTGGACTATTCTTTAAAACCTTGTTTACTAGTGAATGTCTTTCGTGATCATGGGTATATTGGTGTGGTTATAATAAAATTAAAATGTGGTTATGAAATCTTGGTGTGATTTTCATTTTATGGGGTATTTGCATTTATATGAACGTGACCAAGAAGTTTTCTTGATGTAGGTATGTGTGAGTCTTGGATTGGATTGGTTTAGCCATGATTTTGGTGGTTTTGGAGGGTACCTTTTTTGGTTGTGTAATATTACCCACCCTTCAAGAAAGATTGACTTGGTTCAATTTCAAATTTGAATGATAAGTTTGTAGAGAATAGTTAACATTATGTTGTAGTTCACTAATCTCAATTTCAATGTCATTTTTTGTCTTCAAATAAACATACAAAAATTAAGATTGTTGTAGAACATACTGGAGATTCACACAATAAAATGAATTAATACTCTCCCAATTTTTATTTTCTCATACATTTTATGACTTTTTAGTAAATGTAGAGTACTTTTGCTTGCGGAATGGATGCAAACAAAATGAAACCTACTGAACAACAGAGAAACCTTGAGACCACCAGGTGGAAAACGCCAGAGTATCGTAAACAAATTGTTAAGGACTGGTGAGAATAAGAAGTATATTGTGATGTTCTTTTCAATTATTTTAGCCCTTTCTCGTGTCATGTCATCCCAAATCTCAATATCGTGTTGAAATGCTGAAATCTTATCAAAAGGAACACGAGCATATCCAAACTCAATTTGTGCTTGTATGAGATTGTGGTTAAAAATTCTTGGTTGTCCTTGGGAGTCCTAGCATGCAGTTGGAATTATTGTGTTGGATGGTTAATACACTTGAGTCTGATTCAGCTCGGTTGTATCTTTTTTTTTTTTTTTTCTTCTTTTATATAAAAAATCATTGCTAATCTGGCACTTAATTTGTATATAAATATGTTGCTTTGAGTCAGTATGTTGACGGTGTGTATGTGCTTGATTCCAATAAACCAAACATGAGTCTGCCTTATGTTTATTGTCTGAAACATGAGTTCTGTTCCTTCAGGAATCTTGCAAAACTTTTATACCTAGTCTTTATTTGTAGCATCATTTCAATCTTCCTGATTCAGTTTCTGATTAGGACTTTAAGAAACCGGTACCTTTCATAACAAATTCATCTCGAAGACTTAGATGAAAATGATTTAGTTTGGATAGCAGTACTATTAAGTCAATGCTAATGACCTGTTAATAAATAGAAGGCCTGCAAGAAGCAATGAGTCCTTAGGCTAAGACAGATGTAAATGCTAGTCCCTATAACAATGATGTCATTAACATAGAATAACACAGAGAGGGTTAGAGTCGGAGTAAATAAACAATGAGGTCACATTTTCTAGCCTTGAAATGGAACTGCAGTAAGGTGGACTTTAACCTGTAAAACCAGGCCCGAAGGGCTTGCTTGAGGCCATAAATGGCCTTGTTAAACCTGCAAACCATATTTCTCTTGAAACGTTTTTGAATAATACAGGATTTTGAAGTTAGATTCTGTTTTGATGTTTTTGGTTCCATGTGGGCAAGGAGAAGGGTTGGGTGGATACGTCTTTGAATAATACCTGATTTTGAATGATTTTGTACAGGGTGAACATTTTGAAGTGGTGTTAGAATTGTACTAGTGAATGTGAAAGACACTGATCAAGAAGAAAGAGGGGATGGGTGACTTAATTGGCAGTGCGGTAGTATTATTTACGTCTAAAAGAGAGGTGAATGACTAAGAACATGTACAACAGGTTAAGATTATAAAATCTGCAACTTCTCGCACAAAAAGGATCAACACCTAATATGATATATTTTGGTTATAAACTCGATTTTAAACATATTGAAAGTGTTACAACAAATGTTTAAATGATAAAACTAATTAACCTCAACAAATGTTTAAATGATAAAACTAATTAACCTCTGATTGGGTAAAACAAATAGTAAATTATAACCAAGTTAACATGGAGACATCATTTTCCTATAGTTGTAGTTTGTTCTTCCTAACATAAGTAACTTTTAATCAAACTTACTAGCAAAATAAAAAACTACAGACTTTAAATTATATAATTATGACAATAAAAAAATCTCAACTGTCAACACTCCTTTTTGGGATTTTTCTTAATCACTTCAAGTTTTGATCTCAATCATGTTCTTTGGCAAGGTGGAAACTTTGTTTTTCAATTTTTTTCTTTGTTGCCTCTTCCTATTTTTTGCCTCTTGCATGTGTAACAAAAGTACCTTCAATATCTTCTTTCATTCTTAAACATCTTCTTTATTCAGTGGTTTGCAAAGCGTTCACAAGCTTTACAATTGTTATTTAAGAAAAATCTTTATTTTCTTAGAGAGAGGAGATTTTGGATTCAAACCTCCCCAAAAAACAAACCAAGATTTTCTTAACAACTTTTTGATCACTAGGCTTTTCATCAAGTAAATTATAATGCTTCCCTATGATTTTGCAGTACCCTGTGGTAGACCTTGAATCTTCAACTGAGCCTTGTCAATCAACATCTACAAAACATTCTATACTTTTGTTTTTCATTTTTTCTGAAAAGTAGTCCCTTTCTAGGAGTACCTTTGATACAGTGAAGAATCTAATTTACAACATCTCATAATTGGAAGAGTTCCAGCCAACCATTTTATTTTATTTTATTATTGTTCCTATAATTTTGGGATTCCTAGTTAATTCTTGAAAGGGCTTATTTAATTTTTTTCCTTTTTTGTATTTGTATAATGTATCTCTTATTATTAGGGAAAAAGAACAGAGATGAAATAATTTTCTTCACACTCTTCTCTTAACTTGTATATTTGTAACTTCTATCAAGTTCTCTGAGCTGACATGGACATGGTCTATCATCCATATGAATGTAATACGAAATGCAGCATGAATTTAATAATCAAAAAAAGTCAATGGAAAGATGAGAGCCTCTTATCTGGTCTTTTTCAACATCTGGAAAGATATGAGGCGAAACTGAATGCTACTGCCAAAACTCAGGTATCTAATATGAGATTGTGTGAATAATGTTATGATTCTCTTATCTTGTTGATTTTCATCTCTGAGATTTGATTTTGTAAGTACATATTGTTTGAGTTTTTAAACTGACTTATATTGTTTGCTTGATTTGAACTTTGAAATGAAATTACTTTGGTTTATTTTTCTTTTTCCTTCATCATTGCCCCACTTTTGAACAACAAAACATAAACAATAGCCTGATCCCATTGGGTGAGATTGTTGGCTACATGGATTACACTACACCATTGAGATTGGTCAAAACCCAATTCCGGGGATATTATTCACCATAAAATCTCTCTTAATAATTTCTTCCCGTGTCGATTTTGCTCTTCCTTTATACCTTTCACAAGTCTAAAAACCATGCAAATGCTCTCCTCACCAGTGCCTCCATTGACCACCTTTGCACATATCCAAAACACCTTAATTGATTTTTTATTATCATTTTTTCCCCAACAAGTGTCACACTGATATCTTCTTGTATGCAATCATTTTACAGTTTGTCATTTCTTGTGTGCTCACACTTTCATCTTAACATACTCATTTTTACCACAACTTTTTTCTCTTGTCCCTTTAAAGCTCAACAGTTATTACCATAGTATATAGTTGGTCATATAGCAGTACAACAAATCTTTCCTTTGAGTGTGGTCACTGGTCAGTACTTGAGGTTACAAATATCCTCCAATGCCTTCTTTCAATTTAATCACCCAGCTTGTTTCCTGTGTGTGACATCATTAATTTTCCTATCATTTTCGTACTATTGTTGTTCCACTTTTTAACTCCATTACCTAAAGCACTCGATTTGAAGCATGATCTTGTTTATCATGATTACGTTGTAATTTTTTATTCATTGAGTTTTAGGTTCTAATATCTCTACATCTATTTACAGGTTGAGTACTTTAATTGGTTAACTGGAAAGATAGAAGCAATATGTTCACAGCTAAAGACTCCTGAATCCGAACCTATTATCTCAAACTCTACTGGCCCAGGGGGAATCTCTTCTGCTCAAGGTACTGATATGGGATAAGCATCTTTAACTTAAAACATTCTTTATCAATTGTAAACATTAATTTAGAGATTCCTGCAGTTTTTTGGAGTTTCATATTAAAAATTTCTCCATCATTCCATAATTAAAATTCCATATCTTATTTTTAAAGTTATTAGGTACTGAAATCTCAAGTCTCATTAATGGAAATTTCAATAATATAAACAGGTCTGAAACAAAGGAAAGAATGTATCTGAAAAATAGCTTTATCTTTTAAAATATGTTTGAGGATTTTAAACTTAACGTAACAGTTTCAGCTGAATAGGACAGTTTGTAACTAATTAAGGACTGGTAAAGAAGAAACTAGGAGGTCATAATATTCATGTTTGGTTTTCCCTTGATGTATTTTTAGTTAGATCATTTAGTTCCCACCCTATTTATTAACTATTTTATATTGCATATTTAATGATATTTAAATCCCTGTAGTGTTTTCTCAGCTTTAAGGTAACAGCTTATTTTATAGGCTTGTTTTAATTTTTTCAGTTTACTGATTGTTTACGTTTACCTATCTATTTCTAGAAGCTGGAAAATCTGAAAATATAGAATGGAAGGAGCAGGTTTATGAAAAGGTAATAACGAAAGCTGTTTCTCTAGACTTTCTTTTTCTTCTTCCTTCCGTTGTTTGCCTTTTCAAATCTCTGAAATCTAATTTGTGAAATTTTACTAAAGTGGACTGGAAAGGATCTACATTTTGTATAACTGTATATTGGTTATCCTATGCTAAAACCAATGTTCAAATGTTCCTTTTGTTTAAGTTATTTTAATTAGGTGACCTAATTATTTGTCGACTGTTAATCACACAAATGTATATTTATGCTGATAATAGTAATTGTACAGTGATATCCCTAATGAATGCTGATTGTAAAATCAAATCATACAGATATTATCATATTAACATGTGCTAAAACTAATATTCACATGTGTTGAATGTGCTATATTGAACACTTCCCTCGATGTATTGTGATAAGACTTGGTTACGTGTCATGTATTGTTATTTTCGGAATATATAAAAGAGAAGTTCATTCACATGCTGCCAAAATTATTAAGCAGATTAAAAGTCTTAACAGTAGTAAGTTGATTTTATTCATTTCAACCAAAAATAAATGTAAAAAATTGTCGTCAAGTTTTTATGGTAAGAACAGAACATTAATACCTACTCTAATACATTAGGCGTGAACTTCTCATTTACTCTTGATAATTTTGTCACTTCGTTGGTCTATGCTGTGTTTGTGTGCACTTCTCTTTTACTATTTGTATTGTTATATTCATTGATTTTCTATAATTAATCAGCAGTAGCAATTTATCTATTCCTGTAGATAGTAATAAAATGAACTTGAAATTCCAACTACGATTATTGTGACGCTTTCTAATTGCAGGTTCAGAGGATTAAAAGCACATATTTGCCTAAACTTACTGCCGTATACCAAATTATGAATAAAAAACTTGAAACGGTTGGTGATCGATTCAAGCAAATTATGATTCAAAAAAACAGTGATTTTGCACATTGTCTTTCTTGCTACTACTAATCTTTTCTATTTATATTAAATTTCTCCAGCTTATGTCTTCTCCTCGAGCACCAAACCCATTTATTTTGGAAAATACTAGAACAAATAAGAAAAATTTAGAATGCATTTTTGATCTCTTAAGAGTGAGTAAAAGCCAGATTACCATTGAATTCAAGAAGAAACTAGATCAAGCAGAAAAGATTATACTATTTAATTTTCCCCCAAAGAATGTTTCTTCACATCATCAAGGACAACCACATTCATCTGATGTGCAATCCAGGCAACAGTTTGGTCCATCACATCCTAGTATTTCTCAAATGGAATTACTTGGAGCACAAACATCATCACATGCATTGGGAACTCAGAACTATCATATAATGAAGGATGATTCTCAGCAAAATAAGATTCGTTTACAAGAGCAGCAAGCGGCAAAACAATACAGCAATTCACAACAGGATGTAAATCAACTGGTTATCAAAAAAGGTATAATTTCCTTGAAATCTATCAATTCACTCAGTGTTGTACATTTTATACTTCCTTTTCCATGTTCTCTATCGGAGTTTACTAGCAAACATTCTTTACATTTTTTTTTGTCAATCTCAGGCCCTGGCAATGCTGTACAACAGCAAACACAACAATGTGCTCAAAAAGCAACTGAAGTTGGTGTCAACACTCGGGGGATTCCAGCTTCAAACATGAGAGAAAACTACAACAATCATGAAGAATTTTCTCATAAACCTACAATCAACTCTGATGAGCCAAGTGCTGCAATGCAAAGCTTTCTTAAAGTGGTTGGCCTAAAAACTTACTATGTGCATGCTTCTTATTTATTTTTCATTGAATCATAAAAGTGGTTGGCTTATTATTGTGGACAAATGTTTTCAGTTAACCTCCATATCACCTGAAGCGTTGAAGAATTCAGTTGGTGATATTAAAGAACTAGTCTATTTGAATGATCAGATACCAACTTCAGAATTCATATCTGGACCACCAACGATGGTTCAACAACTAAAACCAAGACTCGTCCCACAATCAGATATTCATTCATTTTCACAAGCTAGATACATGACTTGTAATGATTTTGCTCCAGTTGGAAGGAAAAGGTCTCACAGCATGAATGAAATGACTGCCTTTGAAACTTCTAGAATTTGTGCCAGTTCATGTGACAGTTTCAACCAGTTGACTGATGCTGAGAAACCTGACATGACTTCAGTCGCATCTAAAATAAAGAAGCCTGAAATTGTGGTAATATATCTTCGTTCTAATTTTGTTTTCACAAATGCAATCTAATAATGAATATATCATTAATTAATTTATTCAATTAAATCTGCAGATCCATATAATGTACTAAAGTTAACAGTTTCTTCATTTCTGCTATAAGAATTCATATTTTGGATAAGATTATGTTTTTGGCTTATATCTAGTATACAGAACATGACCTTTTAACATTTTGTTCCTCTTCGTCTTTGTTGTTTTCTGCTTTTTACATATGTTAATTTTGATACCGTATCATTCTTTCTCTTAGTAATTTTTTCCCGTGACTTAAAATCGATCTATTTAGAAAAAGAGAAAAAGAATTCATATGCTAAAAAGGTTTCACAATCATACCATTAATTATATCAACAATAGATTTAAGTTTATGGTCATATTTCTAAATCCTTTTTGATGAACATCAAGGATAAAAGCTTTTGATGTCGGGAATGCCATATGGTAAATTTACCGTAGGTCAAGTCAGTTTCCTGAGAACTTACCATATGCATCGAGTGGTGTCAATTCTCACCAAAGTTTCCTTGCATGTTTTTAATGCTCCCCCAAATCGAGTGGCATCATTCTTCGTGTCATTATTGTTGGAAAGGTGAGCTCATGTAATGAGATTGTTTCTTGATGAATCACTTTGTCCTTTTCATTTCTAGCCATTACTAGATAATTGAAAAATATACGAATGCAGCTTTCCATTATAGGTAATATAAGTTTGCTTGTTTCTAAATTGGCCTCCTTGATATAACCTTAGCATTGGTAACTGGCAGGAAAATTGTTCTCTTTTACAAGAAATAAGGGACATAAACAATCTATTGATAGACAGTGAGATAGTTATTGGTGAAAAAGACAGCATTCTAAGTGCAGCTGGAGGAGCTGCAGAACATGGTGAAGGATTGGTTATAAAATTCGTTTTCAATGCAGTAACTGTCAATCAGAACCTACATCTTTCTTCTGATAAAAAGGTGAAAAATTTTATATTCTGTTTTGAACTATGCATATTGATTTTTGGTCATTTGTTTTATTGACTGTTTATATTGGTCATGCAGTCAATAATCAAACCTTTATGGTTGCTTGTTCCCACAAGTTATCCATTTTCCCCGCCTGTTATTTTAGAAATGCTGTCGGAAGTCAGGTTAGAGATTTATTTATACTTTTACACTCAAGTATTCATCTAATTTTGACTAGTTATCAAGCCAAGATTGTAACTACGAAATTATTTGATTTATATATAATGGTCAGAAGAGGCAATAAGAAAATTATTTAATAGAAGTTTAATTAAAAGCATAATTCTAATGAGTTATATGTATATGTCCTAAGCCTTGCATTATACGGAATTTCCCTTTTCATATCAACCAAACACAACAGCAATTTTGTATAGGTATTCATTTCCTCTAAATAAGAACAAAATTATGGAATATTATTCATTCTGTATCCACTACATTGAGTTGAAAAGAAGTCAAAATGATTTTGTCATCTGTCATCTAAGCCTTGCAGTAACGGAATTTCCCTTTTGAAAAAAGAATCTATTTGGAAGATTCCCATTTTTAAAGAAACAATCCTCAAATCTATTTGGGGTTGATGAGTCATTCTTCTTGCTTGCTCTTTTAGATGAAGAAGCTTTCTCTTTGTTGTTCCTGTTGAGAAACTTCCTAATTTTTTTACAAGAAGGTTGGAACTCTCTTCCTCCTTTTAAGAGAAAAACTCTTTGCTTGAAAATTTTCCCCCCATTTTCTAGTTAAGTAAGCTTAAGCTCCATCTCCCACTCAAGAAGCTTGCCAAAAATCGTTGTTGAATCAAGAGTTGTCAAGTCTTTTGACTCACCTATAACTGCAACTTTAGGTTGTCATGACCTATTTAAAGAGTTGAGAATTCACATTTAGCTCCTCTTTCTCAGGCTTTTTCGAGACTAATCAAATGATTACTATATGTGAAAAAACATTTTTGCAATTCGGTAATAGTTTCCCTTCTTCCATTTGAAACATCATTTATTGCCTAACTATAGTGTTCTTCCTAGCTTTTTTCACATTGGAGGTTCCTTCACGAGTTACCTCAAAAATGTTCCACATTTCTTTAGCACTTCCATATTGTGAAATTCTAAGGAACTCATCTCCAGTAAAGGTTGATGTAATTATGTTTTTAGCTTTTTAATCATATTGAGCCTTTTTCTTTTTCTTTCTCAGTCCTTTCTTCCCAATCATTAGATATTGAATTTTCTTTAACCTCATGAATGAGAATGAATGAACCTTTAACTAATGTATGTCATATTACAAGATCAATAGACTCGATGAATATCTTCATTATGGTTTTCCAGAATTTTTAAATTTCATCATTGAAAATTAGAGGTCTATGAATAAAGCCCCTTAGCAATTCTGCTTGGATTAGTCATCTTTAAAAGAACTTTAATGAATTGCTAAAATATATGACTTTTTCACGATAGGGTGAGTTGAATCTTTCTTAAAAATTGTTTTGTCCCTTGGATCTTTAAAAACATGATCCTTATATCACCAATTTCAATAATTGATCACAAATAGCAAAACAACAATTAAAGATCAAATTTTCAAATTCTTTATGCAATGCATTGACAACTTAAATGTGCAATAATTTAAGAGTTAGTGAGAGAAAAAAGAACACCAAAATTTATACTAGTTCACTCTAAAACTTAGAGAGCTATAGTCCTTAGCAACTTAGATTTTTTAACCAAAAATTGATCAAGATTTCCTTAAATCTTAGGAGGCATTTGGTAGAAGAATTTTTTTTTCATACCTGAAAATCATGATTCTTTGGAAATAATAAATCCTAGGAATCAAGATTCCTAAGAATGATTAAAATGTTTGGTTGGTCATAAATGTTCTTAGGAATAATTATAAATGTTATCTGGAAATTAAAGATGGTTACTACATCAAATAAGCAAAAAATAAGTAATGTGAAGTTTTTCCGGCATTAAAAGTTTCCTTTAATTTGGTGTAATGTTAGCAATAAATATGTTTTAAAGAGTTGTTCCTTAACATGTTTTTGTTGTTGTACATCAATTGGTAGTGTATTTTAAATTTATGTAGTTGAGGTTAGAAAAGGTGAATGACTTGGACTTTCCATTTGGGAAAGTATGTCAATGAACAAGATTATAACTCATGAATTTGTTGGCCAAATTACTCCAGCAGACTTAAGATTGTGATCCTTTGCTCTAGTAGTTAGATAGCAGTAGTCCCCGGCAGTTAAGAATTATATATTTTATTAGGAAAGTGGTCCCAGCATTTGATACATGGACTGGAAGTGTTTATAAGGTTGCAGACTAGTATGGTCACACTCACAACATTAGAAATATACCAATAAGGGTTCGATTCCCTAGCCGTGTGTACACATTAGACTTTGTTGGGAAAGGTAAAACACATTTTGGTGATCTCTATGCCTAGAAAAGATAAATTAATTTCTGACTATATGTTGGAGGATAATAGTTCACACCAAAAAAAGAAAAAAGAAAATGCACATTGGAAATATGGCGCACTAAATAACATTGTAGAATATGTGCAAATGGAGTAGTATCAGAAAATAGGAAATAGAAATCAACCGCATGCCCTGATGATATATGATACCAAAAGATAAAAATGGTCCTTACATAAATTTCTTTGATTGGAAATGCTTCAATTATCTAAATCTAATTGATATGATGTCTCATTTGTTCAAAATACTCTGGGCCTAGGCATTGACTTCTATGTTCTATCCCATACATTTGAAATTACATGGGTTATATACTTTATTTGTTATACAGTCGATATTCATACAGGTCTTATTCCGGAATGATAGGGTTTTAGGAGACAATGTTAAGAACTAAGCTATTGGATCCTATAAATATTAAGTTCCATATACAAGAATTTAGAACTTACATATAATTAGTATTTTTCATATTTTCATGACTACGGTTAATTTATGTCTTAGCAGTTTAATGGTGATTACACAAAGTTCCTCCCCTCCCTGACATCAGCAATATGTCATAAATGAGAACTATTTGCTATACTTGTGTGATTTCAAATCTTCCTTTTGCTGCTTTTATTTAAAGTTTAACACATCCCTTGTTCCCATTTTTTTTTTGTTTTGATTTGGACAGTGAAGGCCTTGGAGATCTATCAACAATAGCAAAATCAAATCTGATATATTCTCTCCAACACTTGAATCAACCCCGGACACTTATGAATATAGCAACCTCATGGGAACGTTGTGCCAGAGAAGCCATCCTTGAGTATGCACAAGCCCGTGGGGGAGGAACCTTTAGCTCAATATATGGAGGGTGGGAAATGTGTGAAAAATATTTTTAAAGGAACCTTTGGTGTTCATTTGTATAGTACAACTCAACCAGCCAAGTACATTTTGTGCCGGCATTTAACGATCTTTAGAAATAGCTCTACAGTAGAATATGAAAATGTAGTCTAACAAATTTTTTGGAATATTTAGTTATAGTTGATAAAAAGAAAACTAGTGTCCATTGTTTAATATTGTCTTTATATGCAAGTAGATTTAATAATCGATTAATGATTTAAATTGTTTTTAAGAAATTTTATAATTCAACGAGTATACATAAAAGAAAGTTGGCGAGTCGAGTCGATCAAAAGTCGTCTCTGACGTAAAAAAATGGATGTAAAAAATTGATTTATATCAAATAATGTGGCGAAAATGGTGTTAACACTAAAATAGTTTATGTTAATACACTTGTGTCGGTTTATATAGATTGACATTACAGAGTCAGTTTTTTCACCTCTTAAATAATCACTAGATGAAATTGTTGCTTATAGTTTATTTTCATTAAATTTAATTTAATTTTCAAATAGTTTGTTTAGCTATCTCTAATTTATATAATTTTTTTTATTATTTTCCCCATCAGCCAAAACTTGAAAGTAATTTTTCATCACTTAATAGATATATATTGAGTTTTAATGATGTGATGGTTGAATTAAGAGTCCTTAATGGATTAATCAATTTTATAAAATTATATA